ACCATTCACAGTATGGTATTTCTGAGTAACGATTTTATCTACAGAATCATGGTCATCAAAAGTTACAAAAGCAAAGCCCCTTTTCTTGCCACTGCCTCGGTCAGTCATGATTTCAATCACTTCAATTTTCCCATACTGCTCAAAATAATCTCTTAAGTGATGTTCTTCAGTGTCTTCTTCAATTCCACGAACAAAGATCTTTTTCACAGTTAAGTGGGCACCTGGTCTTTGAGAATCTTCTCTGGAGACAGCCCTCTTGGGTTCCACCACCCTTCCATCCACCTTGTGGGGTCTTGCATTCATGGCTGCATCCACCTCTTCCACAGCTGAGTATGTGACAAAGCCAAAGCCTCGGGAGCGCTTGGTATTTGGATCTCTCATTACCACACAGTCCGTGAGCGTCCCCCATTGCTCAAAATGGCTCCTCAGACTTTCATCCGTCGTCTCGAAGCTCAGCCGCCCGATGAAAAGCTTCCGCAGCTGTTCGGGCTCTTTAGGAGACTCTGACTTCGACATGGCGGCGGCGGGAAAAAACACTTTCGCGATGACTCCTCGGCAGCGTTCTCCGGGAGAAATGAGCAAGCGCACAAACGTGTTCGCCAACCTACCTAAGGCTTCTCCTTTTATCCCGCCTTCGCTCTCTTGTGATTGCTTACTGCTATTCATGCGTAGTTATGATTGGATAGTTGAAACATCCTTCTCCTACTATTGGTCATTAGTTCTACATTGTTATAACGTCATCGTTTGGGCGTTCTACCCATTATCCCTTTTTTTAAAACAATTTTTTATTATTATTATTTGTGTGTGAGTGCCGTCAAATTGGATCTGACTGGTACAGGAGGAGATTGTCCCTCCTTCTCCAGCAGAGCATCTGGTGGATTCAAACCGCTCACCTCTGGGATTACAGTGCAGCTTCTTGCCACTAGGCCACCAGAGCTTGCCCATTACCACATTTTATCCATCAGTGTTCATTTTACCCATCACAGTGCTCAGCATCACAGTAACCATGAATTACATCTGTACAGCAAATGGACAGACCAGTGCTATACAACCTAGAAGAATGTTTGACCAAAAACAAGGCCCTCAGGCCTGCGGCCCTTAAGCTCTACCAAATTTAAGAACCAAAGCATGATTCAAACTCCATGAGCTCTGTCATTGCAAATTCCTCCATAATCATGCATTCTCATTTGCTCTCATCATCCAAAACCGCCCATCTGGGAGCATTCCGCTGCTTCTTTAAATCTCCTCCTCTTCTGATGGCGCATACTTCTTCATAGAGAGTAAAAAAAAAAAAAAAATTAAGAAAATTAAAATGCTGAGTTCTGGTGGTGTAGTGCATAGGAAGTGTCACTGCCAAACCAAAGGCAAGCGGTTCAAATCTACCAGTTGCTTCTCTCTCTACCAGGAGAAATGTGGGTAATCTCCTCCCATGCAATTTCCTGCCTCTAAAAAATATGGTGGAGGGCCAACTATGAGGGTTCAATAATAAGTTGTTTGAGTTGAGCTATTGATGAGTTATTGCAGCAAACTATTTAAAATAAATGCATATATATTCATAGTATTGATAGCCTTTGAGCTGTGGTGCTGGAGAAGAGTATTGAATGTACTATGGACTGCCAAGAAAACAAACAGATTCTTCTGGAGAGGGTTAAACCAGGCTACTCCTTGGAGACAAGGATTCTGGGGCTTTGTCTGACATACTTTGGACATGTTGCAAGGAGGCAGAGGTCCTTGGAGAGGGACATCATGCTTGGGAGGGTGGAGGGACAGCGCCAAGAGGGGAAGGCCCTTTATGAGATGGATTGATTCAGTGACTGGGATAATCGGGATGGGTGTGTCAGAGGCAGTGCGATTGGCACAGGATAGAGCAGGGTTTAGGGCTGTTGTACATAGGGTCGCTATGAGTCGCAAATGACTCGATGGCACATAACAACAACAACAACGAACAACAACATCCTCACAGTAACTCTGGTTGGTAGGTAGTGTCCTATGGTAGTTATTATAGCTCCAAGCTTTGCTCTGAAATATGTTTGGGTTTGGACATCAAACTAGATAAATGTGTAAAATAGTAAAAATGTTACTTTCAAGGCTAGTGCAGAGTCTGATCATGTTTTCTGTTGGTGTTGTGTTGTGTTTTGTTTCTTTTGTTGCTGCGTTGTTGTGTACTGTTGAGTTGGAATTGGCTCATAATTGATTCTCCTGCAGGTTTTCAGAGCCAGTGTGGGAGGAAATTACTCATCTTTCTCCCTCAGAGAAGCAGATGGATTTGAACCACATTCCTTAAGGTTGGCATCACAACTCTTTATGTTTAAGCCACCAGAGTGCTCTCTCTCTTTCTCTGTTTCTTTTTAGTGCTGGCTTATTTTCATTATATCCCTTGCTAGAGGTATAATGTAGACATACCAATGAAAGACAGGGCACACACTGGCACCTATTCCAATATATCTTACATGAAAGCACTGGATTTAACTTTCTTTAAAAAAGTCAAAACAAAAAAAACAAACCAAAATAAACCTCAAAGCACATGCAAAAATATGATATTTGTAGAAAGACAACTGCTGCCAGAGTCAGCCAGTTCATGGGCTCCTGGTCTTTTGGGATCGATCTGACAACTCAAAGGACAGAACAGGTGTTACAGAATACCTGTCATTTCTCTCTTTTGGTAAGCTTTTTCCTAAACAATAACTAAACTTTATTTCTTACATAAAAGATATGAAGAGATTGCAAGAGAGAAAAAGCTTACGAAGTAAAAGGAATTCAGGTCAGATTTTAAAAAGGGACTGTTTCTATGTAGAGTTGTAAGAAGAACATTTACTCCATGGTCTTTGCAATCACTTGTTATGCATCAGAGAGTTGAACAATGACTAGGGAGGATAGAAGGAGAATTTACGCCTTTAAGCTGTGGTGCTGGAGAAGAGTATTGAATGTACCCTGGACTGCCAAGAAAACAAACAGATTCATCCTGGAGAGGGTTAAACTAGGCTACTCCTAGGAGGCAAGGATTCTGGGGCTTCGTCTGACATACTTTGGACATGTTGTAAGGAGAGACAGGTCCTTGAAGAGGGACATCATGCTTGGCAGGGTGGAGGGACAGCGCAGGAGGGGAAGACCCTCTATGAGGTGGATTGATTCAGTGACTGGGATAATCAGGATGGGTGTGTCAGATGCCACGCAATTGGCACAAGATAGAGCAGGGTTTAGGGCTGTTGTACATAGGGTCGCTATGAGTCGCAAACGACTCAAGGGCACATAACAACAACAACATATTCTTTTGACTCTTATGAATCCATTCATTCTTTTATTCACTGTATTGGAAATTAGGTGTGAGATAGATGCTGCCTTGAGTGGTTAGATAATGATTATTATGTCTTCTAATAAGATTGCAAGGAGCTCGGATGGCCAAGTGGTAAGAAGTTATACTGCCAGCTCAACAGCAAGCAGTTCAAATCCAGCAGCTGCTCTGCGGGAGGAGGGTGGGCAATCTCCTCCTATGTGACCTGCAGCCTTTAAAAGCCCACTGGAGGTCAGCTATGAGTCAATTGACTCAATAGCATATAGCAACAATAGGATTATAAGCTCCTCAGGTTTACAGCACATTTAAAGCCCCATCAAGATGGAGATTCACAAAATTAAAATACAAATAATATGATGAAAGCTATTGCAATGTTGAACAATTTTCAGCAGTTCTTTAGTGCTGTCACCACAGTAGGTTTTTGTTATTGTTATGATCATTGCTATAAGAAAGTCAGTTTGTGTGAAGTTCAGGAGGAGAAAAGGCAAAGGAGCGCAAAAACAGATCTAAATCAGTTCCTTTAGATTAAACTCTCTGCTGTGAATTTGCCTTTTCACCCCAGATATGTTCAATCAGAATCTATATTTCAACATGATTTCCAAGTGACTCTTATGTCTGAAGATCTTCAAATACAAATTCTGATTCAGCATGCCTGGGATTATTGTTGTGTGCCTTCAGAACTGACTCAGCTGACCCTCCAGAGGATTTTCAGAGACAGTAAATCACATGGGAGGAGACTGTCCATCCTTCTCCTACAGAGCAGCTAGTGAATTTGAATCTTGTGCCTTTGGAATTGCAGTGCAGCTTCTCAATACACAAATTCTCAGCAGGAGTTGAATTAAATGGACTGGTTTGAAGAGGTCCTCAAAAGCCCTAGACATAGCAGATGAGCAGAAAGCAGTAGTGTACATTGTATTTAGGAAAACAGTACAGATTTCATTGCAGCTACTTCTCAGGACTTTAGGGAATCCAGGTCAAAAGAAGGGAAAGCATTTGAGTGTTACAAATTCTAGAGCCCATACACATTAAAAAAATTAAAATATTTATATAAAACAAAGTCACTAATACCACATACAAGCAAAATCTGCTGAAGATTATGGTAAAACAGCTGGAACAGTATTGTTGTTGTTGTTGTTGTTGTTGTTGTTATGTGCCGTCGAGTCGCTTGGGACTCATAGCGACCCTATGTACAACAACCCTAAACTCTGCTCTGTCCTGTGCCAATCGCACTGTCTCTGACACTCCCATCCCAATTATCCCAGTCACTGAAAAATATCGAATGCTTCATGAATTTGCGTGTCATAGCAATAGAGAATTACCAGAAACATAAGCTGAATTTAGAAAAGGCTATGGCAGTAAAAACATTATTGCCAATGTCTGATGGGTCTTAGCTGAAAGCAGAGTACCAAAGGAATGTCTATTTGTGCTTCATTGACTATGTAAAGCCATTTCACTGTGTGGATCACAACAAATTTTGGCTAACACGGAAACAAATGGGAACCACCAGATGCTTGATTGTACTCATGCAAAAACTATGCTTAAAATTGTGACTAACACTGAGAAAAAATGGGAATCTCCAGATGCTTGATTGTGCTTATGTAAAAACTATACTTGGACCAGGAATCAATTGTCAGAATAGAGGAAGGAAACACTACAGGGCTTAAAAATCAAGGAGTGTATCAGGGTGGCATCCTTTCTCCATACCTTCTCAATCTGTATACAGAACAGACCATTCTAGAAGCTAGGCTTTATGAGGAGCATTTGGGTATCAGGATTGGACGAAGAGTTATCAACAACCTACATTATGTAAAGGACAAAACCTTCCTTGTTGAAACTGAGGACGACCTGAAGTGCTTAGTGCAGAAAGCCAAGGACCGCAGTCTTCAGTATGGACAGAAGCTCAACATCAAGACAACAAAGGTTTTCACCACTGAGTCAATTGGCAGCACCACCATAGATTAAGGCTGTGAACAATTTCAGTTTATTCATTCCACAATGAACACTCTTGAACACCAGTAGCCAGTAAGTCAAAAGACAAACTGCATTAAGAAAATCTGCTGTCAAAAACCTATCCAGAGTGCTGAAGAGAAATGGTATCAGTTGGGAGACTAAGGTTTGCCTGATCCAGTCTATGGTCTTCACAATTAATTAGTATTTATCAGAGAGTTGGACAATAGCTAAGGATGGCAGAAGAGTAATAAATTATTTTGAGTTGTGGTGCTGGCAAAAAGTATTGAACATACCATGAATTGCTAAGAGAACAAACAGGTCTGTCCTGAAGAAGGTGAAACCAGACTGCTCCTTGAAAGCAAGAATTCTGAAGTCTATATCACATATTTTGGGTGTGTTGCTAGAAGGGACTAGTCCTTGGAGAAGGACATCATACGTGGAAGGGTGGAGAGGTAGCACAGGAGAAGAAAACCTTTGATAAGACAGATTGACACAGTAACTGGAGTAATGGAGGCAAGTATGTTGGAGACAGTGAGATTGGCTCAGTACAGAACAGGGTTCAGAGCCATAGTGTTGCTATGAGTTGCAGTAGACTCAAAAGCATATTATATCAGCAACATTCTCAAGAAATTCCTAATGCAGAAAATTATGTAAAAAATTGGAGGAATATGATTAAATATATAAAGTGCTTACTACCCTGTGCATATGTGCACACTGAAATAACTTACAAATCTATTCTGAGGAAAAGTGTGCTACTATTCCCATTTTACAGATGAGGCAACTAAAGGATGGGGAAAATAAGGGCATTAAGAATAAATGGTAGAATTAATATTTTAACCCAGGTTTCAGATGGCAAGCTTCAAAATTCATGCTCTAACCATTATGTGGAACACCCTTTGGGATGTTAAAGCTATTTATTTAACCAGTGCTTATTGTTGCTAAGTGCCATTGATTCAGCTCCAGCTCATCACTACCCTATGTACAGGATTGCCTGATTCTGTGCCACCCTCACGATTGATGTTGTGTTTGAGTTTATTTTTGCAGCCAGTGTGCTAATACAGCTTATTGAGAGTCTTCCTCTTTTTTCACTGACAATTCATCAAGCATGATGCCTTTCTCCAAAGGCTGCCCCTTCTAATAACATATTAAAATATATGAAGAGATGAAGGATCATTCTGGCAACATAAGTGTATGTTATTTTCTTTACTCTTCACAATGTGAGCATTCATGCACTCCCAGACTATCACTTCTTAAAGAGAAAGAATGAGGCTGAGGAAATCTAGCCAAAGCTCCCCAATCACCTGCAGTGGATTGAGGGCTTGAATTCTATCCTCTTTACTGCTTGTCTAGAATTATTTCCTGTTTCCATCATAGGAGGATGATTCTTCTTTCGTCAAAGGGATGTTATGAAAAGTGAACTTAACATTATATTTGACAGCAATTGTTACTGTTTGGAGCATAAAACACACATAAAAATAATTGATTTGCTCCTTTTAGCAGTGAAAAATGTTAGAATGGGGGGAGGGGAAATTCAGTATTCAAAACCCACACAGTGATCTCATCTCTGCCAAGACTTTGAATCTATCCTTGTCACTAACTATGTGTGCATTTTTTGACAGGCATCTTTGATCTTCAATTCAGTCATCAGTGAAGTATGGATGAGTTAAGCTTGGTTAGTAATTTTCAAACACTGTTCAGCTTAGGGAATTGGGGTGGTGAGGTGGGAGGGGAAGGAGCTAAGCAGGGGATCAGGGTTCTAGGTCTACTGTCTATCTGTTTTGTGCTCTATGTGTGTGTGCTTTATATACAAATTTTGTAGGTCTTGTTTGTTTGAAGCTTGCTTTTATTCCATCAGATAATTCCAAGGCATAGTCCACGATATTAGAAGAGAGATTCTACAACAACCACATCTCTAGTATCTTACTTTTGTCCCATTAGAGGATAAATTGGTGTCTGTAGCTTCCAATCTCATGGAAGTTCCAATGACGGCTCTCCCTTCTCCTGGACACCCTCTAATTATTTGATAACAGGGTGACTAGATTCAGCAATGCTATGCACTCTCAGCCCATGGAACACAGTTTTATGTCTGAAACTTTACAAAAATTATTATTTCTATCACATTAATTAAACAAAGCCTCAACATTTGTTTCCCACCTTCTTCCTCAATCTTTCTCCTATCTTGACTAAGCCTGCTACTCTTAGCATAAGCTAGTCTCCATTTTCTCAGCAATATGCTCTTTCAAAGACATCCAAACAAAACCAGTTGTCATTGAGACAATTCCAACTTATATTGACTCTATGTTAAAGTAGGACTGTGCTCTGCAGAGTTTACATCAGCTAATTTTCAGAAGTAGCTCACTAGGCCCTTCTCCTGAAGCACTTCTGAGTGTATAGTAACTGTATAACTTGGTTAGCAATGAACTTATTAATCATTTGTGCCACCCAGAGACTTTTTTCTAACATATATACTCAATTAAAATATTTACAGTTTCTGGGTTTTGTGTCTTCTCCCTCTTTTATGGCATTGGTTCTCCATTAGATTTGTGTGAAATCAGGGATCTTATCTCTTTTCCCCTTATGTATTGCTACCCTGGTCAACTCAGGGCTTGGTCCTTCTAAGTGAAGTATAGTTATAGTTAGTATACTTGACTCATGATCTGATAGATTATTTTATTAGAATTTGCTTTGACTTTTATCAGATGGCAGACAAATAAGTTGATTTTTATGGTTACCATAAATTTGGGTTGTGGACAGTGGGGGTCATCAAGTTCTTCGCACAATATTCTTGACTCTATCAGTTACCCTCTTCACAGCCTGCTTCACTTCCTTGTTGCGAAGGGTATAGATAATGGGATTGAGAAAAGGAGTAAGTAAAGCATACACCAAGGCAATGAGCTTGTCTGTACCCTCAGCTTGGCTCCCCGGTGAACCCACATACACTGTGAAGGCAGAGCCATAAAACAGTGCGACTACAGTCATATGAGAAGAACAGGTAGAGAAGGCTTTGGCACGACTAGCAGCTGAGGGCAGTTTCACCACAGCTTTCAGGATATTACCATAGAGTCCCAAAATGAGCACAAAATTGCACCCAGTGGCCACACCAATCACTGTTCCATGAACCCGAGCATGCCAGCTTGTGTCCACACATGCCAGACGCATTAATGGTGCCAAGTCACAAAAGTAGTGAGCCACCTCCTCCAAGCAGAAGGGAAGAGTGGCTGTGAGGCTGGCTGGCACAACTGCTGCCGAGAAGCCAGCTACCCAAGTGGCTCCTGCTAGCCTTACCTGTACCTGTCTGCTCATGAGCGCATGGTAGTGGAGCGGGCGGCAGATGGCCAGATAGCGGTCCAGTGCCATGACACCCAGCAAGTAGCACTCAGTCATGCCCAAGGAGTGGAAAACATACAACTGGATGAAGCAGACAGCAGATGGGATGATGGAAGGTCCATGGAGCAAAGTATGCAACAGTGTGATCACCGTGGTGCTGACATACCAGAGCTCCAAGAAGGAGAGGACACTGATGAAGAAGTACATGGGTGTGGACAGTCCAGAATCGGCTCGAACCAGCACAATGATGAACAGGTTCCCTGCCAGTGTGAGGAGATAGATGCACAGAGTCCCCAGGAAGGCAAGTGTTCTCAGAGGCTCAGTGGTAGTGAAGCCAGCAAGGATGAAATTGAGGGTCCAAGTATGATTTGTATGAGTCATCATTCTTAGGGCTGTAGGATAAGGACAGAGGATTGCATATGCAGGCTTCTTCATTGTTTAAGGAAGACTTCCTGTGCCAAGGATGTAGATTGCGAGCATCAGAAAGGAACTGAGATTTCAATTGATCCACCCTCCTTATTTTGAAATAGAGAAACTACAAACCAGAAAGCAGAAATGTTTGACCACATAGTCTGTTGGGCTGAGTCTGAAGTAGAAAACAAGGCTCCTGATCCTCTAGTCTAATCCTTTTTATAATATTAGGGTCTGCAGATTCAGGCAGCATTTAAAAAAAATTGTCTTCTCCAACATCAGGAAACAGGAGAGAGGAAAAATGCTACCTCTCTTCTCCTACTATAATTGCCTATAAATTAAACTAACCTTCTATTTCTTATAACTAACAGTACATGGATGTTAGGGGAGAAAAATCTTCCCCTACAAAGTAACTATTAAGACTTCTTTCAGAAATACCTGTGGTTTTCAGTTTATTCTTTTAAGGATTAGAAAAAAAAAGAAGAGATAGCATAAGAAATAAATGTCTGACACCCAGAAAACAATCCCTGAAAGTACAGGTCATAAGCAATGAACGGATTAGGCCTTTGTAAAAATAATCACTAGAGGAAACATGTAGCAGGAAGTCTCAAAGAGAAAGTCAGTCAGGTCATAGCTCCCCTCTTTCCCACATCTCAGACCTTGATCATGAAGCCTTGTAGTTGTGATATTGTTTTGCTACATTGAGAAACTTCTCTGTACTTAACCTCAACTTCCACTTTTCTAAATTAAAGGCTTGAATATTTATTAAAGTTTTACATCAAGAATATCTGAAGTTATCAAAGAATATTTAAAAAGGGGAAGTAACAGTATCAATATTCTTGGAATTTTCCTTCTACAACCTAATAGACCTCATTCATGACAATGGCAGTATTTTTGTTTATTTCTTGTCAACTACTCTCACCTCTGGTGCATTGTCCCTTCCCATTCCTTGACTGTTTTTGAGGACGTTGTATGTGTAGCTTCCTCGTCAATGTTCTTTCTCCTCTGAAGACAATTCTCTACTTATATTTCACACTCTTGGAAGGTAGCCTCCCAGGACCTTGTTTCTGTGTATTCCCTGGGGCTACCAGATGTGACTAGCTCTTCAAAAGGGGTTCTTCTGGGGCAGAGTGTTGGGCACAGGGACGTGGATCAGACTTTTCTCAATACTTCCTTAGGTTTTGGTATCCAATCCTAGAGACTTTGCTTCCTCTGGGCCATCAGAATTTTTGCCAGTCACACATCACCCTCTATTGTAAGAGATGAGCTATCTATCTAGGAAACCTAGATAATATAGCACCTTTAGGAACTCAGAAGTGAGCCTTCATCTTAAAAATTCTTTTAATCTAGATTCCTCTCCACCCCACTTCAGTAAGGATTTTTAAAGGGCAGGAGACAAGTATACAATCAATTTGATTATGACCAGTGTAATTTCCTGAAGTTGGATCATGGTACCAGAAGACAGTGCCAGCAGATGAACTCCTCAGGTTAGAAGGGGCTAAAAATGTAACCAGGGAAGGGCTGCCTCCTAACTTCTCCAAATTACTGAGGAACAATGATGTCAGTCTGAAAATTAAAATGTGCCTGATTCAGAAGGGTTTTGTTTTGTTTGTTTGTTTGTTTGTTTGTTTGTTTGTTTGTTTGTTTTAAATTACTTGCTATGCATCAGAAAGCCAGACACTAAATAAAGATAATAGAAGACTTAATTGATGCCATTGAGCTGTGGTGTTTTAAGAGTACTAAATAATCACAGAGGCTAAATAATGTCAGAGGCAGTGCGGTTGGCACAGGATAGAGCAGGGTTTAGAGCTGTTGTGCATAGGGTCGCTATGAGTCGGAAACGACTCGATGGCACATAACAACAACAACAACAAATAATCACATTGGCTGCCAAAAGAATAAATAGATATGTCTTGGAGAAAGTGCAGCCAGAATGTTCTTTGAAGGCAAAAATGACAAAATAATCAAATATATATTGGATATGTTGCTTGGAGAGGCTGTTAGCTGGAGAGGATATCATACTGGGAAAGGTGAAGAGTCCACTAAAGAGAGGAAAATTTTCATGAGATTGACACAATGACTACAGCAATAGGCTGAGGTATGTCATAGATAATGAAGATGGTACAGGCTAGGATGGAACTCAGGTCTGTTGTTCATAGGGTTATTATGAGTTATACTCAACTCAATGGTTCCTAACAACAACTAGTCACTTAGTGGTAAGGAGTTGTGCTTCCAGCCCAAAATGATGTGGTTTAAATCTACCAGTTGCTTTGTGTGAGAAGTATCAACAATATCCTCTCATTCAATTCACTACCTCTGAAAATGTATTAGGAGGTCAGCTATGAGTTAGTTCTGACTCAACAGAACACAACAACAAACTTAATATCCTGGGTAAAGTAAAGCTTTCACCCAGTGAAGGACCTTCACTTGCTGATGTGGCAAAACTCAAAACAATGAAAAGCAGCTGCAAACTTGCATTCACTATCTGAACATTGAATGTTCTGAGCATAAAGCTTGGAAAATGGGAGTTGTTAAAAAAAACAAAAACAACAACAACAAACAAAAAACCCTAAATGGAACACAAAGATTGACCTCTTAAATATTAATGAGCTGAGATGGATTGATCCTGGCCATTTTGATTCAAATAATCAATTATATTATATACTATACCAGAAATGGTAAACATAAGAGGAACAATATTTCATTCATTATCAAAAAGAACATTCCAAGATTTATTATGAAGCATAATTTCATCAGTGGTAGGTAATATCAATATGCATATGTGGAAGACCTGTTAATACAATTATTCAAATATATGTACCAATCACTAAGCCAAAGATGAAGAAATTGAGAAGTTCTATGAACTTTTCTGAAACTGATCAAATATATAATCAAGATACATTAATAATGATTGGTGATTAGAATGGAAAAGTTGGAAACAAAGAGGGCTTTTGTTGGAAAACATGACCTTAGGTGACAGAAATGAGGCTGGATATTGTGTAAGAGAATCAATAATTTATTCATTGCACAGGTTGTTGTGTTATTGTGTGCCATCGAGTCACCAGTGACTCATAGTGATGTGTTGCAGACCAACGGTAAAGTATTTTTATAATTATTAATAATGAGACAGACTACCAGGAATGATATAGAACAGAGAGTGTTGAAAACAGGGGGCCAACAGTTCCCATGACTGAAGGACCCAAGCCATGCTTCTCTGAGTATTTATTTAGAATCATAAGGAAGGTAAACAAAGTAAAATCATAAGGAAGTACAAAACAAAACAAAGGATAATGGTGAAGACTTTTACAGATAAGGCCAAGTTCCTCTTTATGCTAATCTCAGGAGGGAGGGATTCTGTTTATACAAACTAAGAACAATGTTGACTCTTAGGGAACACCTTAGTGCCACAAGGTGACCTTCAGTTTGTATTAAGCCTCCCTCATTTCCTGATATAGCATTTGGTTTACTATTAGTAAATTTGATATTCAGCTTCCCTTAGTGATGCTATTCTCACTGACTCCAACACATCTACCTCCATTACCCCAGTTACTATATCAATCTATCTCCCAGGGTCGTCCTCTCTTATGCTGTCTCTCCACCCTTCCAAGCATCATGTCATTCTCCAACGATTAGTCCCTACTGGCCACATGCCCAAAGTATATGAGACAGAGCTTCAAAGTCCTAGCCTCCAAAATAGGGCCAGGGGCACCCACAGAATAGACCATCAATTATTTATATTAAAGTTCAAATAGAAACTAAAGAAATTAAAACAAATCCCTTATAGCCAAAGTACAACATTGATTTTATCCCATTTAATTTTAAAAATAATCTCAAGGATAGATTTGACACACTGCACAATGATTACTGAAAACCAGACAAGTTATGGGATGACATGAAGAACATTATCCATAAAGAAAATAAAGAACAAGATGGATGTCAGAAGAGGCTTTGAAACTTGTTCTTCTACACAGAAAAGCCAAAATGAAAGGAATACTGTAGTAAAAGGAGCTAGAAGAGAACAGATTTCAAAGGGCAATTCAAGAAGACAAAACAACATATTATAATAAAATGTGCAGAGAGCCGGAGTTAGAAAACCAAAACGGAAGAACACGTTCAGCATTTCTCAAGCTGAAAGAGTTAAAGAACAACTTATAAAGATATTAGTAACATGAAGAAAAAAAATATAAAAGTTGGAGAGTTGCTGTAGAAATCTCTTTTAGCTAAGGATATCACTTATCATGTCACATCATTCTTTATTAGTGTAATTGCTCATCTAAGATTAAGACAGACTAGGAAGAAGTATTGGCCATCCATGTCTAATATAGCAGGCCTTCGAAAATCCTGTGTACAACAGAACACACTTAGACTAGCAGAGAAGGCAACTGAGGTGGAGCTTTCAAATATGGAAACACAAAGGAACAAAGCAACAGTTGTAAGCAGACAGTAGTGATTGGAACATGGAATGGGAGAACCATGAATGTAGGAAAATTAGATATCGTTAAGGAAGAAATGGAATGCATAAATATTAACATACTAGGTATTGGGGAGATGAGATGGACTGGCATGGGGTATTTTGAGTCAAATGATCAGATGATGTATTATGCTGGAGATGAAAAGGTGAGGAAAAACGAAGTTGGTTTCATAGTTAAAAAAGTAATTTCTAGATTCATCTTGAAGTACAATATTGTGACGGGATAATATCCATTTGAATACAAGTCCAGTGAATACTACTATAATTCAGATATATGCACCAACACCAAAGCCAAAAAAAGAGGAAATAGAAGATTCCTAGAACTTTACCAGAGATTGATCAAACATGCAATAAAGTTGCATTAATAATATTGGGTGACTGGAATGCAAAAGTTGGGAACAGAGAAGACTCAGTAGTTGGAAAACAGAATTGGTAACAGACATGAAGCTGGAGGGTGTTGTTGTTGTTGTTGTTATGTACCATCGAGTCACTTGCGACT